TGAAGAGGAGAACATTCAAATCCCCCCACCAAAGGGAAAGAGGTCTCCTCGAGCAGCAAAACGCAGACCCAAGCGGACAACAACACTAATTGACGAATTCCTGGACGAAAATTCCCAACTTAGACATGTGTTTTTTCCTGGTCATAAAAAAACCATAGATCCAATACAGACTCCTGCAAATGAAAGTTATTACTATTACCCTGGGAGAATTTGGTTGGATACCGATGGAAATCCTATTCAAGCTCATGGAGGCGGCATTGTCTATGATAAAAAATCAAGAACATACTATTGGTATGGTGAATATAAAGATGGACCTACCTACCAAGTTCACAAGAAAGGAGCCGCTCGGGTAATTCATTTTTTTTTTCAGTAGAACTTCTGTTCTGTTTCTAAGTTAATAATTGTCGTCTTTGCTGTAGTATGTTATGTAGCTTATTATAATTTATGAACATTTAGTGGTTCTGAAAGTGTCTACCATCTTTCTATGTAAGCTCAATGTTTAGATGGTTTCATCTTTTGTTTATTTTGAGAAAGAAAAATTACAAGACTGGCTGGTTAACAAGAACTCCGTAGCTTAGAGATGTTTGTTTGATTATAGTATTTGTTTATATGTATCTTTACCTCCGGTTGTTTCTGAACCTGTCTAGTATCCTCCTTAATAGTTGTCTTGGAGTCTTTGGCAGAGAAATGTCATGTTTCAAAGGTCTCATTTTTGTTCTTAATATGCTACCGTTGTCATAAAATTTCCATATTCTTGTTGGTCTATGATAAAGGGATATATAAGTGTCCTTCCATTTGCACGAATGGAGATATTAATAAATGTAAGAGTCTTCTCCGTTTGGATCAAATACAAACATATTAAGAGCTTTTATTTAAAAAGAAAAAAAAAGGTCATCTTGACTGATATTTAACCTAAAGGATTTGGATTCCTTAAGATGCAGTTCATACAATAGTTTGAATTTGAAGGTGGAATTTGGTGGTTCCTTCTATTGAACATGAAGCCTGCTACAACTGAAATTACATAATCAGTGCTCAGAATTCTTATTGCTACTTCTCATGAATCCACTGAATATAGTTATTGACACTGAGTAAAAAGTTTATACTTCCATAACATCGATGTTTTTCTGCAATTCGGAATCCAAGAAAAAGTTTCACCCAAATAGTTCAATTTATTCAAGTTAGAGTCAGAAATTTACTGGGCTCCTGTATTCAAAAGCAAAGAAATTAAATGATCCAGACTTTTTACCTTCCACACTGTGTTCCCTTACCTCATCCAGTTGGTAAGACTTTAAGTGATGGCAATAGTCAGGGAAATATCCTTCACATGTTTCAAACTTTACCATGTTAATTGACATATACATCTGGTTCGCAAGCACCGAGAAAAAACTTGTACTGAATAACTCGGGCAAAATATTGTATCACCAGTCAGTTTACATGAAGAATTTTTTTATTCCTTGCCCAGATAGATGCTGATATGAAAGATATAGTTAGCACCAGATGGTGGTTTGTTTTTATCTGTGCCTTTGCTTTCTCTCCTTGAAATTTATGAAAAGTAAACTTTCTTCTATAAATTAGTATGCTCTCTAAGCCTGCATGTTTTTGAAATAATTTTTGATGCCCTTTACGATCTCAGTTTCCAGTATCTGCAAAGTGAAGTGATTTTCTCCTTTTTGCACTAGGTGGACATTATTGGAGTTGGTTGCTATTCTTCGAAGGATTTTTGGACATGGAAACATGAGGGGATTGTATTGGCAGCAGATGAAACAAATGAAACCCATGATCTGCACACGTCTAATGTGCTTGAGAGGCCAAAAGTTATTTACAACGAGAGGACCGGAAAGTATGTGATGTGGATGCATATTGATGATGCCAACTACACGAAAGCAGCTGCTGGAGTAGCAATCAGTGACACACCTGATGGACCATTTGATTATCTCGGCAGCCAAAGACCCCATGGATACGAAAGCAGGGATATGACAGTGTTCAAAGACGATGATGGCACGGCATATCTTATCTACTCCTCCGAAGACAACAGTGAACTGCACATCGGACCCCTTACTGAAGATTATCTGAACGTGACATCTGTGATGAGAAGGATTCTTGTGGGACAACACAGAGAAGCTCCAGCTTTGTTCAAACACGAGGGCACATATTACATGATCACTTCAGGCTGCACAGGATGGGCGCCAAATGAGGCGCTGGCTCATGCAGCCGAGTCCATTTTGGGGCCTTGGGAAACAATTGGGAATCCATGCATCGGAGGAAACAAAATGTTTAGGCTTACAACCTTCTTTGCTCAGAGCACTTTTGTGCTTCCTCTACCTGGCTTCCCCGGTTCATTCATTTTCATGGCGGATCGGTGGAATCCGGCCGACTTAAGAGACTCCAGATACGTGTGGTTGCCTATGATAGTGGCAGGACCTGTTGATCACCCTCTTGAGTACAGCTTTGAATTCCCTCTGTGGTCTAGAGTGTCTATCTATTGGCACAGAAAATGGAGATTGCCTCACGGCTGGAGCGGCTTCTAATAATGTAACTTCTCTTTGTACATTGTCATATACAAACATTTTATATACGGTTATATACCTTACCCCGTTTTGCATGTCAAGTTGGAAAGCTCACTTCTATCAAGACTATCGGACATGGAAACCTAAGTCTCAATAATTTGCTCACTTTAATTTAGGCTATGTTGAGATTAGATCGAGGGAGCGCATGTATACCGAGAAAGATTATCCACTTCATTGGAATTTTGCTAATAATCCAGCGTTGTTCATCACTTGTGTCACGGCATCATGTAATTATTTCTCACTTATGTAAATTATTCTTTCACGTGTGTACTTTTTACAACTCTATACTCCATGTTTTTTATTTTCGTTTTTTTGGTCGGGATCCTTCGTTACCACCTTCGAATCGCTTCACGTACATGCTTACATGTGGAGGTCATACGTTGGTTATTTAATACTATCACGAGATGACCTATCCCTACCTCAATTATTTTCTTTCACGGAATATTAGGATGGATTAAAACATTATTAGTGGAACTCAAGTTTTTCTTTTCTTATGATCTAAGTCAAAATCAAATTTAAAGTATAGTTACAATCTTTCTGAAACATATTAATACTTTTCACAACGAATTTTTTAGAACAAGTTTTCCAGAATATATGTAATGTATTCCAGAATGAACTTCCAAAACACGCGTAAGGGGTTCCAGAACGAACTTTCTACATTGATTTTTGTTTTTTGGAACACGCTCACTCTCTTCTTCCTAACGTTGGGCCCAATTCTGTAGCCCAACTCTATAGAGTTCCCAGTGGCTGGCCCTTACATGTAAAACATATAATCTTGTGTGGACTTTAAATATACATAAAACTAGAATGTAGATGCCATGGATCCATTTAATTTAATTTAATTACAAGTTTGATCCTTGTTTTCTTTGCTATTCAGGAGAGCTGTAGGATAATATAGATAGCATAAATCCTTTTAATTTGAGTTTGAAGTTTGATGAGATTTTTGTATAATGTATTAGAAAAAGAGAGATGGTGAGGTACTAAGAGTTTGAAATGAATAGAGTGAAGTTAGCATTCTACATGAAGATGGCCCCATAAAAACATAAAGAGAAGAGCTTGTCATTGTCAATGGTATAGAAAAGGATAGAAAAGCTTAAACCTGCAGAAGAAGGTATGGGCCAGCATCAAACTCCCTTTAATAAAAAACCAAAAGAAAGAAGCTATAAATGTTTTAAAATGAGGGAGGGAAAAGATGCAGAAAGAGTGGAGAGTGGATATGTTAACGTGGAGGGGGCAAGTCTCATCAGAAGTTCAATATGTGCAACCCTAAAAAGATGAACCCACTATTCATATTATTTCCTTTTCATTGTTTATGTACTTACCAATTTATTGGCTTTCTTAGGAAAAAGGACTCTCTCATGAGCCCCCCCTTATCTTTCTTACCTCCATCAAAGACCTCAGGGTTTTGTGGGGGCCATGCAGACCCTAAAGTTAAAACAGGTGCCATATACAAAGATAATAGATACATAGATACTAGTATAGTTTAGGCTCAGAGAAAGAAAAAAAAAAGAATAAGACCAATTCAAAGACAGCGTGCTGGCCACTAAAACCTTTAAACCCACTAATGACTATGCACCTTTTAATGACATATATTCCAACCAATAACGCAACTTGGTGGCCGTCCTAAGATTCTATTTCCCATAAACTAGATAACGACCTCATTTTATTTATGCTTCCATCTTCCTTTACTTTTACTTTCAATATCATCTTCATACGCAAAAAATACCAAATCCTATTTGCTTTTCCACCAAATTCAACATGAATTAAATGTTTTTGTATGTCTCACTACTGTTGATGATCTTAAATATACTCTAAAATACAAGATTATCGCGGAATTCTACTTCTTAAGTTATGTTAGTAAAACGCACAACAATTATGCTTCTTCTCATCTCTGGTCAAATATCTGGACCAGCTTGGATAATATATAATTATAATTTATATCAATGATCAACTACCACCTGCTTTAACTTAGTCAATAATCAATACGCTTCAACCTACACATTTGGATTGCGACAATAAGTTATATTTTAGCCTAATAAGTTAGCAATTTCTTATTAATGACAAAATAAAATAACAAATACTCGAGAGGAATATACAATTTCACAATCATTGACAATTCATTACTATTTTCCTAGTTATTGAATGGTCACGCAAGAACGTTCTTTTTAGCTGGAAATGGTCCCAGATTTTAGGAGACAAGTAAAAAGCCATCAAGTGTGATTGTAATTTCTTTTTCATTTTATCTGCCAGAATAACGAAGCAACAGCTTCTTGTTTTCAATTCTATTCTGGACGAGAGAAAAGATTAATAGATAGAGGGATGGTACTGCTTGAATAGCTTGAGATATAATTAAACCGAAATATAAATATAATATATATAAAATATGTACAACAGAAATTTTGAAAAATGAAAAGGAAATGTGAAAAAAGAGAATGATGAAATAAATTTAGTCTGATGATTCCTTTTTGAATAATACAGGCAAATCCCCTTGCTGCAATCATCCTCATACCCTCCGATTAATACCATTGTCTTAAGTACCAAACTGGAAAAAAGGACATGAATTAGCTTAAAGAAAAAGAAAAAAAGAAGCCCTCGGCTGAGCCAGGGGCACGTGCTTTGAGAACAGAGAGCACGTGGGATTCAGTCCCTCAACTCATTACTCACGTCAAGTCATTCTCCTCTACACTACGTCAAGGCCCTCCATGCACTGGCCCACACCACCGGCTGGTCCTTCCACGAAAGGTATATTCCGGCGTCGGAGCACTGTGCCATTGACCATCCCTCCCTATACCTCCTCAACAACGCTCTCACGTCATCACACACCTCTTCGCTAAACGCCACCGTATTGAATCCACCTCCATGCATCCTCCTCGTCCACCGCCCCGCCCTCTCCCGTCGCTCCACCGAATCCGAAGCCGAACACGCCACCAGGTCGACCACCTCCCTCCCCGCCGCCCGCTCCAGCATCAACCGCTCGTTGCTCGTCTTCGGAAAGCTCTCTTCTAACGCTTCGAAGTAAACCCTAAACCACCTCAAACACTCTTCAAAACCCTTCACGAACTCCAACCCCTCCAATCCCACGTCCAAGTCCGCCTCCTCCTCCACCACCGTCACGATCCTCGGCTGCAGCCTCCTCAGCGAGGATATCACTGCTTCGCGGTGGTTCCCGATGGCGGAGACCGAATGCAAAGTATTGACACAGTTAATAGCCAAAGCCTCGTCCTCTTTGATATCCAAGGCGCCGAAATCGAAGTCAGAAAGTTGACCTAAGTGCTGAACGACGTTGAATTGAAAGGGCACGCCCATGAGTCTGGCAAATTTCTCCATTCTGGTGCCGATTTCCTTCATGACCTTGTGCGCGGAGGCGGCGGTGACGAGGGAGGTGAGACGGAGGTGCGGAGTGTCGTCGTTTCGAGTGGCAAGGGCTTCGAAGAGCGTAGGCCATTGGGTGCAATAGGTGTTGCTGATGTCAACTATGTGTAGTTTGGGCTCGCCTTCCAAGGCTTCCAAGATGGCACCATTGGACGCCACGTGTCCGAAGGTTGTCCAGGGACTGACCTCTTGGAACTTCAGCACGGTCTTGCGCGTGGATTCGAAGGAGCATGTTCTCTCGGAGGCCGAGGCCAAGGTTCGATAGGTTCGGTCCCCGGCTTGGGTGATGCGGCTGAAGAAGGCTTGGAGGAAGTAGGAGGCGAGTTTCTGGTCGGTGTCGCCGTAGGGGGAGGCGAGTTCGTTGAGCATCCACATGAGTTGCTGGAGGCGCGTGGTGTTCTTGTCGGAGACGGCACGTGCGGTTTCGAGGAGGATGTCGTTGGCCCACTTGCCGGAGAGCTGGAAAGGGAAGGCGGCGTCTCGGGTGGGAGAGAAGGAGAGGTCGGTGGTGGTGGTGGTAGGTGTAGTGGAGGAAGGGTGGGGTTGATAGGGATAGTAGTGCTTGGAAGAAGACGAGGATAGGTCTTCTTCATCCATGAAAAAGTTGAAGCATTCTTCGTCTTCTTGTGGGTAGGGATAGTTGTGTTGTCTGGAGGATGGAGAGCTGGTGGTGGTGGTGGAGTTGTTGAGTGATTGATCTTGATCACCTTGAGGAGGTTGGAGTTGATGTTGGAATCTCACTACACCAAACAACGTGGTATCCATTTAAGGTTATTAACCTTTGACTCGCATGGATATCAATTGGTTATTCACTCACTCACTCATTCACTCACTCGCATGGATATCAACGAACCAACGAACCAAACAGAATGGACGTAACGTGGTTTTTTAACGGTGGGAATTGGGGTGTGGCGGTGGAATAGGAAATTCTGAATGGATTGGGTTTGGATACACTACATATACTTACCAAAGGAAATTCTATATACAAAAGTTACGTATAATTGTTATTGATATGTATGTGGGTTAATTTTAGGGGGATGAGGTGGAGTTGTTTTTTGTGGAATCGATGTGCGAGGGAGAGGGAGAGGGAAGTGGGGTTGGGTTAAGAATATTGTTTTATTGAAAGATAAAATAAAAAAGAAAAAAAAAGGATGGGCATGGAGGGAGTGAGAAGTGTGGCGTAGGTGATGCTTAGAATAGAATTGAGTCTGACAAAAGATGAAAAATAAGAAAGTGTGAGGAAAAAGGTAGGGAGAAGGGATCCTTTTCATTGTTTGAGGGAGTATTTGATGAGTGGGAGCAGGCGTGCCAAAGTTCGAATTGGGTAGATAGAGAGTGAAAGGGTAAAGCTGCCGGCGTGAATCATCTTCCTCAAACTCAAACAAACCCACTTTCTTCATCCATTTTCATAATCCCACCATTATTATATACTTTTCTTTCCTTCTAATGCCAACTTCTAGGGCATGCCTTCTCACTTTTTCTCCACACCATAATAACCATTTTTTTATCCTTCTTTCTTACATGGCCCAGCCTACCCTCGTTACAAATTGACTTCCCATTTAATTATTTTTTAAAACCACTTCTGCGATTATCCTCTTGGGGCTTCGCTATCTCCACGTTTGCTTTCTTTAATTACACATTATAATTATTATTATTAGACAACTTGTTTTTCTCAATTATACCATTTCATTATTCTCATGGTCTTCTTTCAAAAGGTGCACGGCTTCTTTATTTTGTTTTTCTTCCTCAATCATTAGGGAAAAAATCACTTTATATTTTGACCTCTACATCAACTTAATCACTTCATTTTTCGGTACCCTTGTACGCTAATGTTCTTTTCTTTCCTTCTAAGCCATTAGCTCCCGACAAGATGAGACAGGATATTAGCCATGCTGAAAACCATAGATATAAACAGAAAAGGGAGTCCCAATAACCTTTTCCCTTTTTCTTTCTTTTTTCTTGTTTCCTCTAAGAGCAATTGGTGGGGATGTCCGATTATCCATGTAGTTTTTGCTTTCATCCTCCACCACGAGATTCAGCATTTTCCATTCACACTTATAAATAATGAACTTGTCAATAATATTTAATCTTTCATTATATTTATTTCACATTTTAAATCCAACCCCACATAACGGTTAGTCCAATATTATGCAGTACGAAAAGTTCAACCACTTTAGATAAACAAATGGTGAACTAAGCCTGATTAAAACTTAGTTAAGAAACAGAAATTCAGGTAATTAATTAACATCTCTGACAATTTAATGAAGTTAAACACAAGAACAAACGAGTTCCCTGAAAAGAACTGTATCTGTAGTTGATGAAATTCATCTATGAATACTATATAGAAGTGAAGACTCTCTCCTTCTGTGTGTTGCAAAGAGATAAAAACAATAAAGCAGATAAAAGAACTGCATAATTGGCGGCTTTTATCCTTTCTTTTTGCTGCTGTTGAGGTGAGCCCCATATTCATTTTCTTTTTATTTAAAAAGCTGTTACATTTGTAAGAAAGCCTATAGTTGCTATGTCACTGCCACAACTACAAAATACTAATTTATTTTCGTTTGGACTGTAGCAGAGATAAAAAAGAAAAAATTAATTATCGTTACACGTCATTTCGCAGATATATACTAATCTATTTCTTTCATCTCATGACTGTGAATTCAACTCCATGAATGCACTCGTACTTGATAAAGTGATCTAGTGTAGCAGATCGTGTTTATCTTAGAATTTCTGAAGAAAAAGAAATGCTTCGTTTTTATATATATATATTTGAAACAGTGCTGTTCTTAATTTGTATCGTTGTAAAAGATGATTTTTACGATGTATTGATGGATGGTGTTGTTGTGGTGTTTCCTATGATCGTTTAACACATGGGGCGCACTATGCGTCACAGTTTCGACTCAATAGAAGGAAAAAAACAAGTTTTATGAAATATGACAATTACTTTTCAAGGAACCCGTGCAACGCAGGGAGCATTCTTCTAAATATTTTTACAACCTTTTTTCATTTATTATTGGATATCGCCATGGATGTAATTTTGGACTCATTCTCCATTTCACAACACAAACTGTATCATTTTTCTGAAACATATATTAATTATCAACAGCTTAACTTGCCGACAAACTGTAAGGATGTTTGTCTTCCCATTTACAGAAACATTTATTATGATACAAAATTAACTTCAAAGAAATTTATGTTATCATTTGATCATAAATTATTCATTTTATGACGATTTCTTTAAAAGTTATGTTTAAAGTGGTTTCTGATTAATATTATGAAACATTAAAATATTATCAAATTTCGAATTAAAATTAACACCTTTTTAATACCATTTTCTTTTTTATCAATAACATGAACAGTTGATATAATCTTGGCATTAAATTTGACATCATCCCAAAAGAAAGGCTATTAAAATAAGTAATCTATCATCATCCCGAAATTATTTCACTCTACAAATGTAAGATAGCATGAATGGCATTAAAAATGGCAAAAATTTTGGAAGGACAAATGGAGAGATAATGATTAATGCAATATACATTTTTATTTTCTTTTTCATCCAATGTGATTTAGATATTACTATAATTTATTTAAATTATGGGTTCATTTATATGATATTTCTATCTTTACTTTTTCGAATTAAATGGATAAATTAATATTTTGTTCTTGAAAGTACAATGTGCAATCTTAATTTAAAAAAAGAATTTTGTCTGTTGTTTTGGTTCATAGCACAGATTATTATATATTGACATTTAAATTGGCATATGCATTCTTTATTTTAAATGTGTAATTAACAGATTCTACTTTCATAAACATTTAATTTTTTTTTTAATTTTAAACATAATGTGACGACGGCATACATTAATGTATTAATGTAATTTATAATTTTTATATTAACATACTCTCTTATGTAAATAAATCATTGTAAAAATGATTCAAGTTCTTTTGGATTCCATTTTTAACCGTCACAACCGTAACATTGTGATGGTACCGAATTACTGTATCTCTGATACTGAGGTATCAGTGTTTTTCTTAACTGGAGTTGTGGTTGTGTGAATTTTGTTTTGTTTTTTCCGTTGTCGAATACCAAAAATATAAATCAGTATACCAATTTGGGTTTCGTAGATTCAATCTTAGCTGCGTGCAGTTTAATATTACAAAAACACAGGTGTTGTTGATATTCTCCCATTTAAGTTAGAAAAAGTTGACACCATAAAGTATGTCATATTCCTTAAAAGACCCCCGTAAAACAATTTATTAATAAATGTCTTCAGTTAAATGAGTATACTAAGAACTTCTAATTAAAAAATTAGTAAAACATAATTAAATATTTAACCATTACTGATCTTGTCTCTATAGAATTGTCTCCAAATATATGTATAACAATTGCATTAAAAAAATTATTTAAAAGAAAAAAAGTTTTTGGATTGAGAATTTTAATTATTTTTTCAATTGTTTATTTTATTCAGTTTAGTTTCACCATTAATAAAATATTCGATTAAGCTTCTCAATTTTTTTAAAAGTAACCATTTATTTCATCCAACTAATGTAAAATTGTTGACAAATAAATACTGATAAAATTATTTTAAGCATAATGCAATTTGTAACCAAGATGAAAATCCATAAAATTAATAACATTAATTTTAGTGTACCCAAATGTCACATTGCTACATTTTTGGGAAAAAAAATTAAGGAGTTGATTGAATATTGAAAGAGTCGTATGATTATTTATTTATTTTTGGGAAAAGCTTGATTCAATATTTTATTAATAAAAAGGTCAAATTTAATAAAATAAACAAAATAATAAAAAGTAATTAAGCCTAACAAACAAACATTGTGAGGCTTAAATTGGTATTGCGGAAAATGATTCCTTTTTGTATTTAAATTATTTGAAAAACAAAAATTTCTTTTAACAAACAATGAAAGGTTTTACAAAATTTCATGTTAGGAAAAAAATATAAAATATTTTCATAAATATAAAAATGTATACATTAAATTTTGTTGATTTTCACGCTCTTTCAATTTTTCAACCATGCGACGAGAAAAAGATCAATGTTTTGGTTATCTTTATTTCTTTAAATAATATATTCTTCTTACCGTCGTCATCAGTAAGCAAAAGTGAAGGCTTTTGGAACCAAAATAAACGAATGAGATTCATGAGAGTCGAGTTCACTAAAAGCAGAATTTTTGAACTGCAGTTAAACCCCCTTCCCTTACCTTTACAATCTTTCTACATCGAGTGCCAAAGCTAAGATCATCATGCTTAAAGTTATCTTTCTACCTTTGTAGATTTCCCAAACATTGCAGGGATTCTGAAACCTGTTGGTTTGGTTATATATGTCACATTTCTTTTATTTTTTAGTCAGATACCAACTAATTCATTCAATTTTACACGTACCTACTCTTTTTCTTCTGTCAATCCAATATTTCTTCATGGACCTAATTTCTTGTAATATATATATATATATAATAATTATATATTCACACACACATAATTATATTTTTTATATGTTCATATCATTGATTGACACTAGACTAGTTAATAAAATTATATGATTATTCCATCAAATTTTAAGTTGGTGTCATAAATTATTAGCTTACGTTATTTTGTTACTTAACAAAACAGATAGACGTAAGTTAAGAGAGATAGACTAGTCAAAATTTTGATTACAATTTTTAAAAAATGCTGATATTGATTTATAACAAATAAAAATATTACGTAAAGGTCTAGTCAAATAAGTATAACAAACAACGTTTGAGAAATTGAGCTGTTCCATTGTGTCTTACGTAACTGTGTTTATTTTAAGTTATTAAATTCAAAGAGATTAGATTTTCAAGCATTACGTGAATATAACAAATTATTATGTGGATTGGGCACTTTCAAGTCAGGCATTTAAACTATTGACTGCCAGACATGTGCATGGATTGAGAGCAATAGAGGGTAGGCCGTATCCATAGTAAGACAATTGTTGCAAAGCTACAGGATCGTATGATACTGGCATGAAACCTGCTGCTAAGCGATCAAATGGATTCCTTCCATTTGTTCTCCTTGGTT